ATCCAGTATCTCTATCGTCGTCACCTGGCAAACTCTAAGATATTAAAGCCAAACAAATAAAGCATACAAAGTAAAGGGGAAAAATATCTAAATTATTATTTTTATTTTATTAACTTCATCAATTAAATGGGCCTGACCCTCTTTAAACGTCCCCAGTGGAGTCGCCATCTGTCGCAATCCGAAAATTTCCGATCTCGCGACGTATGGATTAAACATCCTTTTAAAGATCTCATCAATTAAGGAATGCCCGGACACCAGACTAATCCTTAATTAATGGTTTTGAAAATAGGTTCTATGGAGTCGCCACCAATATTTTACTCAAAACATTGGAAAAAGAAAAAAATTTTAAAAGATCCAATAATGGCCTTGATAACCATAATTGGGTTCGGGAGTCGGTTACGTTAAGGAAGGTATTAAGCACCCTTACAACGCCCTAAATCGGTACCCTATGATGAACTTAATGAGATAAGAAATAATAAATTAAATATTATATCCCCTTTTATTGATGATTATTTACATGATTTAAAATTTAAATTAAACAATTGACTCTAAAATATCTACATGATTGCTCTTAATATAAACAATATTTATCAAATATAAGAAATAAAAGAGAGAGAAGAAAATTGATCAAAATACCTCGTAGCAAGCTTTGTTAGATCTTCTAATATGGAAATTGTAGGTGCTTTATGGCAACCTTTCACACTACACAAGTGCCTCACAATACTCAAGAAATACAATAAGAGAGAGAGAGAGAGAGAAATTTCGAGCTCTAGAGAGTGTTGGACGAAATTTTCAGGGTCCTCAGAACTGTGGCCGAGATTCCAATTTATAGGCATCAGATGTGGGTCGGAACGTCCCGTTCTGGATTCGGAACGGCCCGTTCCGAATCCGAACGTTGTGTGGCATTTTTTGTACCCTAGAACGCCTTGTTCTGAAACCAGAACGGCCCGTTCCGGGGAACCAGAACGTCCCGTTCTGATTTCAAAACGGCCTGTTCTGGGATACACATTTTAGGCCATTTGATTGGTTTGGAACAGCCCGTTCTGGTATAGAACGGCCCGTTCCAACCTATACCTTTTTTAGGCATTTTGAAGCCCAGAACAGCCCGTTCTGATCCGGAACGACCCGTTCCGTACTTGGGAACGGCCCGTTCCGATTTTGGAACGGCCCGTTCCGAGCCACTAAAAAATTGGTTTGGGCCTTTGGACCCTCTGATGTCTTATCTTGCTGTTTGTTTACCCCCCGGACGAAATTGAGTGTCTACACCAGCGAGTCAAATCTATCCCCGTCCCCGTCCCCGTACCCGTCGGGTATGTGGTTTTCATCCCCATCCCCATCCCCGTCGGGTATCGGGTATACACATACCCGTCAATTTTTTTATTTTTTATTTTTTGTAAAAAAAATATTTTTTTGAATTATTTTTTTTATTATATTATAATTATAATTAAGTTATTTTTCTATCTCATATTATAATAAATAATCACACATAAAAAATATTAAATTTTTTTAATATAATTAAATTAAAAGTACCTGGTCAAACCGGGTATTCCCCATCAAAGTCGAGACGGGTTCAGGTATTACCCGCGGGTACGGGTATATTTGTCATCCCTACTCTCAAGCCATATTTATAAATTGAGAAATAATATTTGTGCAACAATTTATACATTTTTTTTTTACCTCTCTACATCACTTATTACATTTATTAATAATGAAGAAATACAAAAAGATGATGCTAAAAAATTGTTATATAAATTGTTCGTGTATCGTTTACTTTTATATATTATTTTTCCCCTTATAGTTATGGAAACCTATTCATAAAAATATATAGGCAGGTTAGTAATATTGGATGGAAACCTATTCATTGAGTTTTACTCTCATGAAGTCGTCGGTGGAAAGAAATCTGAAATTAGCACGCATGCCGGATGGGAGCGGGGCAGAATAAGAAATGATTGTAACCATTTTCCTCCTATTGTACATTATCATAAATGTTGCAAAAGAATACATCTAATCCAATTTAATCATTGAAAAGAATGAAAGAAATTTTCTAAAACGAAAATTTCCATATCTATGTATACAATGATTATTTCCTTGAACAATCAATTCGCATAACTGCCAGCTTAAAGTTTTGCCTTCAAGTCAAAAAACTGGTTATGTCCAGCAGCCATTGTAACCCACAAAGGGAACTCAATTACCGATCAATTGCCTCTTCATCTTTTGCACACAAACGCTCTGAGTGGAGAAACATTGAAATAAATTTTAAATGAGCTGAAGTATTTACATATAGAGAAGGTATTATGATACAGAAAGATTAAGAATGTGAGACTCGTTTAACAGACAAAATCATGAAACAAGCCAAATAACAAGTCTACAATATTAAATAAACAAGAAAATAAAATAAATTATCTTCAAAAAGGGCAAAAAATATGCATTGAGTGGGACGATAATTGCAGTTTGAAGAAACAAATCATGTGGCTAAACCAATTTGAGACAAGGTCATCAGAATTGACATTATCAGTAAGTTCATGCGAAGAATAGAAGAAAATTCAGACAACTACAACAGTGTAAGCTCATTAATACCCCCCTCCCCTTCTTTTGGGCGAAGATACACGGCTTCATTCCCAAGTGAGATGACTAATAAAGTTACTTTATATAAAAATTGGCACATCTCTAGTAAGATACATGCATTTTGATACACATTTATGTAAAACCTAGAGTGTGCACCATAGAAAAGTAGGAAATAGTCTATTAATATAAGGCTGGTTCATTCTTATTTGGCATGCAGATAATTTTAAGATGTAATTTTAACATAGACAATGCATAACATACATAACAATATCATATATGCAGTACCACAAAATTTTACCAGCCGAACTACTCTGAGCATAATTCAGAACTAGGATGATAGCAATATAAATTTTATAAAATCAATAAATAACTAGTTAAAACAAGATTATTAGAGCTAATAAAAATTAGATAGTTATTTCAATATTTAAATACACCAAACCAGAATAAGAAAACAGGATTGTAAAACACAGAATGTAATCAGAGAGCAAGACTTCTTACTCAGATATTCATATGCCAATATCATTGAAGTACCCCACGCTGACATGCTAAAAAACCTTGGACCTAATCCTCTATATAAACCTTTCCAACCATCCTCACGGATCAAGTCTTTAACAACTTGTTTTACCGATATTTTCTTTTCAAGTGCCGTCACCTGTAGTGCAAGCCATTGAGTCAGAAAAAATTAGTCGGCAATGACAGATTAAATAAATATGATTGAGAAACGGGATGTAAAATGCAATAAAAATATTATATAATAATCATAAAATGGTGTTCCTATTCTTCCCCTTTTTGTTGTCATCTTTCTAAGAAAGAGAACTTCAACAATCACCAAAACATACTGGAGCAATACATGTATTAATATCAAAGGCTAGTTAAAACTTACAGAAAGGTAAAGCAGAGAAAGGGAGAGAAGAGGGATGGCAATATTCATCTACAGGGCTATACAAAGAGAGAAAAACATCTAAAACCATTGCAGTTGGACCAACAGAAAGTGGGTAACTAACTGGGTATCACATTAATCTTTCTAAAAAGAAAAGGTCAAAAACAAATAATAATATTAAATATTAAAGGAGCAAAAAGATTAAATTCTTTATAAATGTCATACATAAAAGCAAACTAATGTTTTGAATCGGATATTCAAACATGTCTAATATACAATCTACAAAGATAGTGCAAGGAGGTATAACAGAAAATTTTCTTATGACAATAACTTCACACCAAGGAAGGATGACTCTATGTTCCTACTTCTTGATCTTGGTATTGGATTTACTTTGTAGGCACATGCAAGAGCCAATGATTCAATGCACGCAAATTGCCGATTGTTAGAATATATGGAACTATCCAAAAACTTGTAATACCAATTGCAGTTGGAATTCCATCAATTATTTGTTTATATAAAAACCTATTAATTTAACTGATTTTCTTACACTTGCAATTATACTTCACAAAAAGAATCTATATAACCACAATTATATGACCAATCATATATGATATTTATTATATTATCAGCAACAATTTTTTTTTCAGAACATTTTTTCAAATAAATTTAATAAATTCAAATACTGTAAATCCAAATAAACTGGTTTACATATTAAAAAAATCTACAAATATTCCCAAAAAATTGCATATGTCAGAATTCATAGCAATCCACAATTTTTTTTTTAAAAAAATGCAAAAAACTATAATCTACTAAATAAGGAAACTAATCCTAAGAAACAATCTAATATATATTAAGATATTTTTGGATATTTCCATAGATTCTCTAACACAGATAATAGAGTCCAATTAAGTAAATAGAAGTAAATTTTAAGCTTTGAATTACGGAGAAAAGCTTTGGAATCAAAGGGATTTTGGTTAAGAGGAAGGCAAACTATAGGAACACAAGTTTAGTAAGATGCAACAATATTTTGGTGGTGAAAATCAAGAATCAAGTCATACTACAAGTTGAGCAGTTTAGCAGTTTAGGCATCTTGGGTCCATCTTAAAAAGTGCTGGGTGATTGATGGCAAAAGTCAAGCATATAATTGAAGCTATATAGATGAAATGAAAAATATCACATGCAATTTTTTAAGTTCCTTGTGAATTTAACATATACTATATTACTTTAACACAATCATTAGTAAAGATATAACAACCAAATACAAATAGTAGTCAATAATGCTCTATAGCAGAGTAGCCCTAAGTTACTATGGGATTTAAATAGCTTAGATTGATCATGATTGTGTATGAACTGTCACTTATTATTTACCTTGAATTTCTTTAGTTTTTATTTTTAGTATTTATATTTCAAGTATAAATCATTTAGTTAATATAATAATATTTAAAATTATGGTCATCCAGCTTCCTGCTATAGCTTTTTCAGAGTTAGTTGCTATGCACTGCCATCCAAAATTGATAACTATGCAAGAATTAACATCCACACAGTGATGACCACAGAAAACAGCAAAAATCATGCAGTAGAAAAAAACTTGTTCAGCAAGGTTATGAATACCTGTAACCGTGTCTTGATAGTATCCAATGGGGTTGTAAAGCAGGATGCAGTAGCAGCAGCAATAATCCCACCAGTAGCCTGAACAAATATAATCTCTGGTAGACTCGGAATACTTGCCTCACTCTTCGGTAGACTCGGAATACCTACCTCACTCTTTGGTAGACTCGGAGTACCTACCTCACTGTCACTATGTCCCAATAATCTGCCAAAGAAGCCAGTGATCCATCATTTTAAATAAACTAGAAAAAATCTAAGCTCACTGCAAAGTTAGTTTATGCTTTGATAGATTCTCTCAGTCAAGAAGAAATTTCAACTTTCGAGTTTCCACACGAACACAAACGTTTATTTCAGGCAGAACAATTCAATCCTTTGAGACTGAATAATTTATATTGATCTGACCTGGATAACATCAAACTTTAAGGGATCTTTATCAGATTTTATACAGTTTTGCCATGTCCTTGGAGTAGAACAAAATATATACGTCTTTAACTTAAATGAGCTACTTTTGAAATCTGTGCAATTATTATAATGAAGTAATGAACATTAACATAGATGATACATCATAGACCTAACTGGTTGCAAAGATTTAAAAGCTCTTTCAGTACACACACACTTCCAATGGCATGGTATCCTAAGACTTCGTTTGGTGACTAAGATATGATAAGATAATTATTCTAGCATATTGTAATTAGCTGTTTCATGTGCCAATAGGATACTTCTATCCTTTGATCTAGTGTATTTCTTATCACGAGACCAGCTAGATTAGGAAGCAAATAGGATAAGGTCTTTCTCTCTAAAATATATTATATTACATTATACACACACACATACTAGTATTTAGCCTGTGAATGCACATGCTAAATTTTATTATATATAACTAAAATTTATAATAAATTATATATACAAATAAATATTATATTTGAATATATAAATTATATTA